ACAAGAAAATAAACTCTTCTTAGTGCCAGTATTTCTGCACTGATAAGGACCGATCACATTTAGAACCCTAACAAACCATATATAAATTATAAAAAAAAATAAAATAAAATTCTTTGTTTACATGTCGTCTTCTCCCTGGACTGTAAGGTTCCTGGAGGTAGACATTTTCTTATTTATCTTTACATATCTAGTATGACAGATAGTTCTGGATCCATTCTCCTCTTCTTTCTTCCTATCAACACCCAAATATTATTTGGAGTGGTAATGTGTCTGTAACAGAGACTGCTAGCTGTTTCCCACCTACCTTCCTTTCATGGTTGGAATTGCCAAAGCCACCTTGTAAGCATAAGGATAAGAGCAACACCCCAGGGAGATAGAAGGAAAAGCTGGAAGAAAAAGCTGACATTGTAGAGGCACCATACTAGCCCTAGGTTCTGGGTATTGTGAGAGAAAAGTAAGCACTTGTCAAAGCCACTATTTTTCAGGTACCCATTACTAGTAACTAAACACATTCCTTACTGATACACCTAGGTACTCAATAACTATTCAATAAAGCATTCAAAGAATGAAGGTTGCTAAAAATGAAATAAGGATCTTGTATGGGACAATATATCCCATAAGCACTTCATCAATGCTGACTAACATGGGTCTCTTTTCTGTTCCAGACGAGAGAGGCCACGACATCTCCCCTACGGCTGGAAAGATAATGGAGGAGCAGACAATGCCTCTACCTGCTGGCACTACCAGACTGATGCTCCCTGAAAGGGTCCCACTGGGAGCTCTGCTCATAACGTTCACTGGAATCAGGGAATAAAAGATTGGCATAAAGTCGGGAGAAAGCCAGTCAACCATCCAGAAATACTACAAACAAAAAGAGAAGATTAAAATGTTATAATAGAACTTCGATAATTTATGTAATGCTGCCACCATGTGGCACTTATTCTCTTCTTTTTAGAAATAAAATTTTATAAAGAAAAAGATGATTGTTGCCAGGTGTGTTAACCTTTTAAAATACATAAACCATAACTTTAGTTTTAAGCACTAGCCAGTATTCCTTAAAGTGAACTGTATTTAAATGGTATAGAGAAGATGAAACTTGTAGCACATACTGATAGCTCTGCTTCACCATTCCTCTCTGTGCAACCGTGCAATTCAGGACAAAGACCACTTTTACTAATTAGACCATCAAGATAGAAAAGAACTGTAAATAATGCAGATATCTATTCAAATCTAAAGTTTCTAATATGCTTTCAGCTTTCCTCTTCTCGTTTGAGAGGAAATGTTAGAATATGATATACAGAAAAGGGAGTTGAGCCTGATGTACAGGACAGTTTCCATGCTACACTAAACCCTCAGGAAGACCAAGGCAGAGGTCATTGTGCGAACAGACTGGATCAAGCACTTTTCAAGGAAAGGAGCTGCATACAATTTAGTTGAAGATAACAACTCAAACTTAGCCAACAAAATATTTTTGAGCCCTGGGGCTGGCCCCGTGGCCGAGTGGTTGGGTTCGCGCGCTCCGCTCCAGGCGGCCCAGTGTTTCGTTGGTTCGAATCCTGGGCACGGACATGGCACTGCTCGTCAAACCACGCTGAGGCAGCGTCCCACATGCCACAAATAGAAGGACCCACAACGAAGAATATACAACTGTGTACCGGGAGGGCTTTGGGGAGAAAAAGGAAAAAAATAAAATCTTTAAAAAAAAAAAAAATATTTATGAGCCCTTCAGAGACCATTCTTCAACAACAATAAGAGAACGCCTTGCTTCGTTGAAGTGTGCATCCGTGTCTTTCTTATTCATCAATATAATAAGCTCAAGCTCTTGTCCTGCTCAAGACATTTACATAAGCTTGTATCTATCATACCTGGTGTGAAAATTTTATTCTTTAGTACACATTTCCTAAGATAATGCTATTTGCTTAGCAAATGCCTATTTTCCCTAAAGATATTAAAAATTGAAACTAAATTCATTCAAATTATTGAAAATTCTGAATTAATATATTTTTATTTGATTGTACTTGCTGCTATCTTTCTCTTAATAACAGCTACCAACACTTGTATACCAAGAATTTTTTTTTTTTTGAGGAAGATTAGCCCTGAGCTAACTACTGCCAGTCCTCCTCTTTTTACTGAGAAAGACTGGCCCTGAGCTAACACCCATGCCCATCTTCCTCTACTTTATAAGTGGGACGCCTACCACACAGCATGGCTTTTGCCAAGCGGTGCCATGTCCACACCCGGGATCCGAACCAGCGAACCCCTGGCCACCGAGAATCGGAACGGGCGAACTTAACCGCTGCGCCACCAGGCCCGCCCCTACCAGGAATTTTTAAAAACGGTATTTCATTTAATCTTCACAAAAACTCTGAAGCATGTATCACTGTTCTCATTTTTAAAATGAGGAAACTAAGCCTTAGTAAAGCAAGTAATCACAGCTAGTAAGAGGTGTGTCAGGATTTAAACACAGATATGTCAAGCTCCAAGGCCCATGTTCTTTCTACTCTTCAACACAGCCTCCTTTCCAAAAAGATCTTGGAGGGCTTAACAATGCGGACTGCAGGTAATTCCTCTCCTGTCAGACAAATGCCCACCTTCTCTTGGCAATATCATCTATCTCACTTAAAAGAGGTGTAGATTTCAACAGGAAGTGAGAGCTGACATTTATGTAACACTTCTTTCATCTTCCATTCAAGACTCAGTTTCACTTGCACAGTCCTTTCACAGAAACCATCTACATTATTTAAAGATATACTGAGATACATAAAATGACACTTGTATTCCAGAGATAACTCAGCCACTAATTAGCCGTATGACTTGTCACACATTGCTTTCCATCTCTGGGCTCAGTTTCTATGAAGTGAGGGGGTTGGATTAGAGAACCCATCTTAATTCTAAAATTCTATGCTTCTTTTAACTTAAAGTGGCTATTTAAAGGAATATTTACAATTTTCTTTTAATAAAAACTATTCAGTATTTCAAATTAACCAGACCAGCAAAAAAAGGATGACTTATGAAAAAGATGACTTATGACATCACTGGATGTCAGAAAACCCAACTTTTAGTTGAAGCTCTGCTACGTGTTCTTTTGAATCATATTAAGCACCTACAATGCATCAGACATTGGATTAGGCATTTTGAAGACAACAGAGAATAAGAAAGATAAGTCCCTACTCTCACAGTGCCCATATTCTAAAGAAAGAAGCCAGGCGATAAATAAGCAAATAATAAGAAAAATATCAGGTAGTTGTAAAAGCTTACGGGAGGCAGAATTCTAAGGTGGCCTCTGAGACCCCTGCCCCTAGTGTACACAGACTTTCTCTCAGTTACTTAATTAAACCCTAATCTAGATGCTGCTGCTTAGATATTCTGCAGATATATTAAGGTCCCACCCAAACCAAGTGACTTTAAGAAAGGGAGATTATCCTTAGTGGGCCTGACTTAATCAGGTGAGCCTTAAAAGGAACGGGCTCTTCTCGGCAAGAGAGGGATTCCACATGAAGGAGACTCTGTTTACCTGGCTTCGAAGATGAAAAGGGCCATGTGGCAAGGAATGTGAGTGGCCTCTAGGAGCTGACAGGGGCCCTGGCTGACAGCTAAGAAGGAAATGAGGACATCATTCTACTGCGGCAAGGCATTGAGTCCCACCACCCTCACATGAAGGAAGAGGACTCCGAGCCCCAAATAAGAACAAAGGCTGGTCAACACCTTGATTTTAGCCTTGAGAGACTGTGCAGAGAACACAGTCATGCCACGCCCAGACTTGACTCTCACTACTTTATTCTAAGGGATCGGTAATCATCCTTATACAGCATGAAAAGGGAATGGTCTCTGGATGACTTTCTGTGTTCACCTTATTCTTATCCCACAACTACAGTAATCATGAAGACAGCTAACAGTCAGTTATACATAAGAACCAGCTCCTGTTCTGAGACAGACACAGACACACACGTGGGTGCGCATGCACACACACGTTTAATCTTCGCAACAACGCTGTGAGGTAGGTATTATGCAGATTTGGTGTAACAGTGTCCGTTGAAACCAAAAGCAGTATCTAAAGCTGCAGCTCTGTCCCTCTATCTTGAGTGCTCTGTACCAGGCTTTCTGGAGTTTTAAAGTGTTAACAAAAAAGTTCTCCCCTTCTGGGAGATTTAGACTTCCTGCTTGGTTGGAGTTCCATTTGAAAACAGAATCTCAACTGCCACAGAATCACAAAATTGTTTGTGTAAGACCATTTAGCATTTACCCAACAGTAGGTTGGGATGTTACTGTTTAATACACAGTGAGCCAACACACGTGCAAAACAACAGTAATATGAAACAGGATGGCAGGGAGGTGCATCAGAACTGCTGGACCATAGCACGCAAGGTGGGGTGGCAGATGGTAAAGCTAGAAAGCTAGGGGCCAGGGCACAGAAGGATGTGGACTTGATCCTATAGACAGCAAATATTATCAAAGGGTTTTAAAAAGTGAAATAATGTCAGAGCACTCTGGCAGCAGTAAAGACTGGATTTTACTGGGTTGATAAAGCAGGCACACAGTCAGAAGGGAAAGAAACTTATGAGGTCACGTCTAGAACAATCGGTCACTGATTGTGGGCCCTAATAGCCAAAAATGATTCTCACGTTTTAACTTGAGTCCTTTGGATGGGTGCTGATGCTCCCACTGAGAAAATAAATACAGAAAATGGATCTGGAAAACCTAGACTCATTCATGTTTAAAATCTTTTGTTCACTATATCTGATTTTATAGATTAAAAAAACTGAGGTCGACAGACATTAAATACCCCAGGAGTAGGCAGCTGAACTTGAGCTTAAGTCTCTTGTCTCCTACTCTCGTGCTCCTTCCATTAATGGTAATGCCTTTTAATAAGTTTTACTTTGTATACTTTACAAACACATGAACGGAAATCAGAGGTTTTAAAACTAGAGAATTTCTCTTGCATATAATAACAAACTAACAATTAGGGCAGTATTTTTACAAAATAAGTTTTAAATACTCACTTCAAATTCTTTCACAAAATAACGGGTTTCACCTTGAATAACTGGTCTGTGATCTAAAAGCCTTGAATGAATTTCTCCAAGATCTATAAAGACAAAATGAAATTCAACATTAATCCATGCTAAGTGGCACAATCTCTAGCTTGTTTTAGTCTTCCCATTTTCCATGAATATTTGAAGGCTAAAATGTAGGTTAGACTATGAATAAGAGGAAATCTCATCCACAGGCGGTAAATTAATACAAGTACTTTTGAGAGCAATTTGGCAATATCTGATAAAGTTGAAGACATACATACTCAGCAATTTCATATCTAGGTAGGTAACCTAGAAAAGCTCTCACACAAATGAAAGAGATATTTATAAATATTTACTACAGCAGGAGTGTAATGTCAAAAGGAAACAACCTAAACAAACTCATACAAGAGAACACTACAAATCAGCAAGTAAAATGAACACACTAGAGTTACATTTATTAACATGCATAAATCCCACAAATATAACGTTGAACAAAAAAGCAAGTTTCAGAAAGATAAAGCCATTTATATAAACTTTAAAGATATGCAAAATATCACTACCTTCGGGGCACATACAGAAGCAATAAAACTATAAAGAAATGCAGGAGAACAAACAATCAACACTGATTTCAAGACAGCAGTTACCTGTGGGAGGAAGGAGAGCAATGCACTTGGAGACAAGTACACAGTGGGCTCTTAATGCTTATCTATTAAGATGGGTGGTGAGCATTCATTATAAGTCTCTATGCTTTTTGATAGGTCTGAAAAAGTCACAATTAAGGAAAAAAAGTTCTGAATTTTAACTGTTTTTGGTGACTCATTCTATTTATTCTACTTGTTAATAACTGTATAGTTTAAGTGGTAAAGCTCAAAATTCCTGGAGAAATTAAATCTCCAAATAAGAATATGTACCATTCATGTTCATTCACTGGTATAATCTGTTCCTCAAATTTTTTATTTTTGCAGACATACAACTGGGCACATTCCAATCGTCTATTTTAGTGAGGTTTTTTAGGATACATCTTTGGAAGTATGCTAACTAAAAAAACAGAAGTATTACTTTTGCCTAAATCCTTCAATGGTTCATTACCCAGAACATTTCTAGTAGAAGATAATAGAAGTTCATTAAAAAAAAAAGTGCTATGCTTAGTTAAGTTTGGGAAACAGATAAAACCTGGTTAGACAGGTTCCATTACCTGAGATCTTTTGGGAGCTTATAGTGTATTAACACAAATTACAAATGCCCAAGTGAGGGCCATTGTATGCAGAAATTTATAGACCTTATTTGACAAGAGAACCTACTCTGCAAAGAATATCTATTCGCATCTCAAGGAACACCAGTGTCTTTCAAACGGAGCTGGCTAAGAGGCTAAAGTCTGAGCCTCCCAGAAGCCACATAAGGTCCTCCCCAGTCTGGCTCCAACCTCACCTCCCCTGGCGGCAATTCTGAACTAGCTGCAGCTTTCCAAACACGCCATGCTGCCTCATGCATCCTTGCCACAGTTGATGCTACTGTCACCACCTGGAACCCTTCCCCAACTACTTAATCCTTGCTCTTCCTTCGAAACTGCTCAGATATCAAACTTCCTTGGAATTGTCATTTATTCTATCCAGCTTCCTCCTAGGTTTCAGGGAGTGCCCCTGCTTATGCTCCCAAAGCGCCCCTGGGCATAGACTGCGACCAAACCACTTACTACACTGCCCTGACATTCTACCCTCCTCTCGTGAGCATCTCAGAGACCAAATTACTTACACCATCCACAGAGGGCACAGGGGTCAACACGCATTTTTCTATATGACTGAGAAGCCATTAAGCTTTGTTGATTTAGGGAGATCTGCTTCTGTGGCCTGAGATAACGGGGATTTACTAAGCCTTTGGAGAGAAATTCATTTCTGTTTAGAAGTGGATAATGACCACTTCTACAACCCAAAATATGCTCCAAACTAAGAGAGTAAAGATTCGGGGGGAAAAAAAGATTCTAAAATACATATTACCATAGAACTTGAGCCACTAACTAGTTCTGTTATGACACCACAATAACAAAACAAGCAGGTTATAATAATTCAGAGTTTGCAGGAATCCCAAGGATTACAAATAAATTCTCTAAGTTTCGTAATATAAATGTAAGCGACAGAGTTTCACGTAAGTCTAACTCTAGCCCTGCTACATGCAAAGCCTTCTTTTGTTGTCTGATATACAAGATAAAAGATACAAAATTTTGTTCTCCAAAAATTATTCTCTAATGTGGGAGTTAGACAAATATCCCTTCAAACAACAGACAGAGATAAGCACTTTAATGGAAGGTCAACACGCTATGTGACTATAAAGCAAGGAGAAATACAGTAAAGTGCAGATCTCTCACGATCTAATAAAAGGAGAAGTTTATTCTCTGGCCCTGAACTTGGAGGCCTTTAATGTAACATGTGGATCTTCACATATCGCAGAGAACAATTTACTGCATAGCAATTTTTCCTGGTAACTCCCACAGTGTCACCATACAGATGCTATTCTTCCTCACTACTTCTCAGTTCCATCCCCTTTTCCACCCCTGCTTGTCTCATTTGAACTATTCCAACAGTTAGTCATACCTTGCTATAACCCACTCCATATAGAGTCAATTGTCGTTATTTGCAGTAGTGATGTTTATAAAGTTGCCTCAAACACTGAACTAGCAAGTATTGAACTGTTGCTCCCAGAGGAAATATAGGGTTACGTTCCTGCAAGCCTCTGGTCACATTTTTGTCAACCAAACACTGCTTGTGTCACATACATTTGCTTACCAACATCCTTGGAAAACATGCCAATCTAAGTGCTGCAAATCTGCTCTTCCAATAACACTGTCTCCTGTATAACACTTAGTAGGTATTTTTAAAGTTCTTCCACAGCCTCCTGATCTGCAGAACTCGCTTCACCTCCAAGTTTAACATTTTTCACACTTTACCACCTTTGAAAGTGCCAGCCAGCACTAACCCACAAGTATAATAACATTTTCCCGACCCTTGGTAACTGAACATAAACTTCTTCAGCTTTCTGCTTCACAACAATGCTGTCCACTATACTTTCTTTACTGGTCATCATCTCATGAATCCACAAATTTAACTGCTTTTCCACCACACACTATAAATGTTACTTTGGTACTTTCCAGAGTGGCCTCACATCCAGATCAGTAAATTTCCTTCCTTTTTCTGGATTGTTGATTAACACTGAACACAAACTACGAAGCACACAGCACTGTAACTCATGCCTGAGAGAAACTTCTCTAATACAGGTACTTTCTCTGCAAGGCATAATGCAGCCTTCTTGCGCTTAGGAACACTTCAGCACTACATCTGGGGACCATTTTAAACAGCGAAATCACCAATAAAAAGCACAAAAATGCAAATGTGGCACTAAATAGAAAGCAAAAAGGATAGTTGTTTACAGTATGAGAGCTGAATCAAAAAGCAGAGTGTGGCCTTGTTCAATTTCAGCCAGGAATGTGTGCATAGGGAGACTGAAATCTCCACGTATGTGAGACAGACCCTGACAGCACTGTCAATATTGACTGTGGAGTCACAAATTCATTTTAGCAAGCAGGCAAACTCACAAATACACAATGCACAAGAGGAAGATAGACTGATATCTGCCTGACTGCTCTATTTAAAATACAAATCTAACCACATGACTCGTACTTATAACTGCTGGAGAGTTTCCTGCCATTCAAGAAAAATTGCAATCTCCATAAAAAGGCAAGAAGTCTTCTATGGTCCGATTTTCACCAAACCCCACCTCTCTCAGAGTCACACTGCAGCAATATGTGTAGTTTCCCAAATATGCTAGGCTGCTTCAGGCCTCCATGCCCAGGCTCATGCTGTTCCAAACCAAGTCCAAAATACCCTTGCCTTCTTTTCTTAACTGCTAACACTTTATTCTTCAAGACTCAGATCAGACACTCCATCCTCCAGGAAGCACCTCCTGTCTTCCAGTCCCAATCTCCAAACGCCCACCCATGGGTCAGAAACCCTCAAAGACCCGGGGCATAAGGATCAAAATCACTTCTTTATATGCTTCCCTTTCACCGGACTGTGGCAATAAAATTCAACAAATATCTGTTTACAAGTGATGGTCTTCAAATAAGATGAACTGAAAATAGATTTTCAGAACGATGAGTTAATGGTTCCATAAAAAAAGCCAAGGCAGTTCTAGACATATTTTCAATTACAACTCAATTTTGGATTAACTTGAAAAACTTGTTCAGAAGTATCTTTTTTAAAAAAAGTACTACATCAAAATCAAAAACTTCTGTGCATCAAAGGATACAATCAGCACAGTGAAAAGGCAACCCAAGGAATGGGGGAAAATATATGCAAATCGTGCATCTGAAAAGGGGTTAATATCCAGAATGTATAAAGAACTCCTACAACTCAACAACAACAAAAAACAACTACCTGATTAAGAAATGGGCAAAGGACTTGAATAGACATTTCTCCAAAGATGATACACAAATGGCCAATAAGTAAATAAAAAGATGCTCAACATCACTAATCATTAGGGAAATGCAAATCAAAACTACAAAATACTACCTTATACCCATCTGGAGGGCCACCACCAAAGAAACAGAAAATAAGTGTTGGTTAGGATGTGCAGAAATTGGAACCCTTGTGCACTGTTAGTGAGAATGTAAAATAGTGTAGCCATTATGGAAAACAGTATGGCGATTGCTCAAAGAATTAAAAATAGAACTATCATTTGATCCAGCAATTGCAGTTCTGGGTATACACTCAAAAGAATTGAAGGCAGGAACTGAAACAAATATCTGCATGCCCATGTTCACAGCAGCCTTATTCACAGTAACCAAAACGTGGAAGCAACCCGAGTGTTCATCCACAGATGAAGGGATACACAAAATGTGGTATATATACACAATGGAACACTACTTAGCTTTATAAAGGAAATTCTGACACACGCTACAACATGGATGCACCTCGAGGACAATATGCTAAGTGAAATAAGCCAATCACAAAAGGACAAATACTGTATGATTTAATTTATATGAAGCACCTAGAGTAGTCACATCCAGGGAGAAAGTAGAAAGGTGGTTGCAAGAGGTAGGGGAGAAGGAGAGGACGGGGAGTTAGTGTTTAATTGGTTAAGAGTTTCAGTTTGGGAAGACGAGAAGGTTCCACAGACGATACACAAATGGCCAATAAGTACATAAAAAACATAAAAAGATGCTCAACATCAGTAATCATTAGAGAAATCATTAGAGAAATGGGAAGATGAGATGGATGATGCTGATGGTTGCACAACACTGTGAACGTACTAATACCACTGAACAGTACATTTAAAAATGGTTAAGATAAATTTTGTTACATGTATTTCACCACAATTTTAAAAAAATTTAATAGTTCACTAAGATTGCACGTATAAACAATTACAATTTAGCACTAGCACCCATGCACCACTCCCGCACTCCTAATTAGATTTAAGAGTCAACCTGAAGTCTAGCAATAGCCACAGCCAGCTGTGCTGGGGCTGCCTACAATCTTGACAGATAAGGTTAAAATGAAATAGGCAGAGACGGAAAGATGTCATTCCCTGGGTGGTGCTGAAGGACTCTGGAAGCCTACAAGGGCTCCAACAATGCAGGACGGTGGGACTGGCAGGACAGGCATGGGGTTCAGAGACGACGGTGATGAGAAAGTGCAGTATCTAACCAGCAAAGATCTTGCTGCAGGAAACAGGGCTGTTGTGAGCTTTGGGAATCGACTCTAATTCAGGATCCGTGAGGATCCAGGCTTTAACTAGGTTGTAACTTTCTCCCAGCTCAAAGCAGACAGGACAAAGGGACATCTGTATATGTGTACGGCGCTTTAGGGCTTTAAAGACGCTTGCATATGTTGTCCCATTTACTCCTTGCATGACCCAGAAGCAGACAGGGTCACAGAGCGGGTAAAGCGAACGACCCAAAGTCACACAACCCCTAAGGGACCCGCCTGGGGGAGCAAGCCCTCCCAGACTCCCAAGCTCGGTGCTCTTCGCGTTACAGGTGGGTCTTGAGGCCGCGTCCAAAGCGGCTCTGCGTCCCGGGGTCCCGGGCTTGGGGAGAGAGAGAGGAGGCGGGCCCGACTGCTCCCACCCGGGGCTTTTTTGAGGAAGTAAGAGGGACTGGGTTGGTTGTTGTTACTGGGAGGCATCCGGCACCGGGAAACAGGCGGGCACGGGCCACGACTCCCCCAACCCCCACAAACGAGAGGCACCCCGGGGTCTGGAGGACGACGTGGGGCGCGGCCCCGGGTCACAGGGCGCCGCCTCGGAGGTGGCGCTGCGCTGGGATCCAAGAGGACGATAGCCCTACCACTCCGTACCCTTGATAATGAGGTGCGCTGGCGAGCCTGTAGTCCCTAAGGAGTCCCTCTTCTTGTCGCCGCCGCTCGTGGCGGCCTCATAACCCACAAAGGTCTCCGTCCCTCCACCACTCATCCCGACCAGCTCCTCCCACCCGCGGGCGCGTTGCGCCTGCGCAAACCTGCGCCGACCGCTTTCCAGGCACGGAGTTTAACGTCATCAAAGGGCGCCGGAGAAGCTGAGCCTACCCGGCGGGTGGTTCCGGTAAGGCTTTCTGTACTATAGCCAGGGATGTGAACTGAGGAAGTTGATGCCGCCATGCTGGATTAGGGCAGATGCTGCGGGAATGGGAAGATGCCTAGAAGTTAGAGCTGAACTCTATTATTCCTCCTTAAACTTGCTAGAATTTATTTTGGTTTAGTGAGGTTGAAGGAGAAGGGATACAGTCACGGAATAATATTAGCAATGGTATAAATATGTCATTATCTACCACCAATCTTTTATAAAGCATTTTTGACGTGCATTGCCACGTTTGATCATCATAGCAACTCGGAGGAATAGTTTTATCATTTCTAACGAACAAATTAAGTAATTTGCCCAAATCACTTATCAGACCCATTCGTGCCAATGTGAGGAAAAAAATATCTGTTCTTGGTATTTGTATTTACAAAATTTCAACCAGTTGTTACCTGACCTAAGATTAAAATACATGTAATTACAGAAGGGACCGGTTTGCTATGCTCCTTTGAATTATCGTAGTCATGAAGAGACATCTACAAGGCTGACAGGTGTCTAACTGCTGCTCTTTGGCGAACTCCATAAAGTTCATCTTGTATTCTCAACAAGTCTTCTGCCTGTTGAGACAATATGAAAATTTGCTGTGGCTCCTTTGCCTCCTATGTTTACCCAGTGGTTCTTTCTAAGAATCATCTCTTACTCTCTCCTTTTTCCCTCCCCTCTTCTTGCACAGTCCTTACCCTCAAGGGTCTGACAGTCTTGTGCTGAAGAGGGAACATAAACCAACATGTACAATATATGGCTTATAAACGACAGGATGGAGGAAGGTGCAGCAAACGTATGGGACCCCTGGGGGTGAGAGGTGGCCAGGAAAGACTTCCCAGAGGAGGCCTATATTTGTCGTCAGACCTGAAATGAAGAGATGTTAGCCATGGGGGTGGGGCGAAGATGGAACATGCAGTATTCTAGCAGAGGAAATATCGAGCCCAAAGGCAAAGAGGCATTAAATAGATGAATTAATAGATAAAATGTAAACTTAGTTAATTGCAGTTTGTTGGGTCTGACTTCTAACCTTTCTAGTCTTACTTCCATTTCCCTAGCTTAGTATCAACCTTTAGAAAACATAATTATTTTTAAAGCCCTTCATTATTCTCCCCTTTTCTAGGCACTTTCCTTATTCAAGTTTTCTTCTGCACCTGCAAGACTAAATTTCCTCTAAGCTTGTCTTCTTATTGTCTTTGAACAACTGTACTTCTCACTATAGTTAGAAGGTTCACTATAGTGCTGTGAGTTTCTCCCACATTAATGTGGCTGTTAAAGATGCAGATTCTGGGTTCTGTCTCCAAAACTACTGTTTCGGTAGTTCTGGGGTAGCTGCTACCTCCCCTTATCCAGTTGCTGATTGACTATGATACAAGTGATAAAAGAACTCAGGATGCGACAGTTAAGACTTTGGAACCAGACAGAATTAGGTTCAAATTCTGGCTGAGCCACAAGCTTGCAGTTTTTTTTCCTGTAAAATGGCAATAAAATATCCATCTTGTAAGGTTGTTGTGATGATTAAAGAAGACAATACCTGTAAAGAACTTAGTATGGTGCCTGGCACATGGCAAATGCTCAATAACTGTTATTATTGTTACAATAATGTCCTCAATCTCCTTTTAAAGCCCTGTATAATCTGCTTTCATTCTCCAGTCCACTTTTATCACCCACCGCTATAATATTTTGTACTTGTTTAGCACTTTACAATTTACAGTTGGATCTTTCAGCCCAGCCATTAGCCAGCTGAATGCAGTCACATGCACTGCAGTGGAGCTGATACCACCACATGGAGCCAGAAAACTGTTACCGAACCAGGCTTATTTTGCCCGCCACACAGTATGCCAATCAGTGAGATGATGAGTTTTGCAGCAGAGAAAGGGTTTATTCACAAGGCAGCCAAGGGAAGAGATGGGAGAATGAGCCTCAAATCTGCCTCCCTGAAAACGGGGATTCCAGATATTTATGGGATAGAGGGGCAGAGTGGTCTGAAGTGTGGGGATAGATGATTGGAGGTAAGGAAAAGTGAGGTATTTGATGATCTGTGCAAACACAGTCAAGCTTCATTGTGCTTCATAGGACACATGTTCGCAATACGGCAGCATTAGCATGATCTGAGGGTGCAGTTTTCAGCTCCTCTGATGTCAAAAGGTCACCTATCAGACATTTGCGCAGGCCCAGTTTATGGGTCAGTGGTCTCAACCAGCCTGAACTGGACAAGGAGTCGATTCTCAGTTCCTGAAAAACAACCAAAGCACCCGTTACCATGGTGACCCAAATGTCAGAGATACTATCTATAAGGAACCTAGTGGGAGTCTGATAATATATTACTTATCTACAGGACTTTTAAGAGTAATCATTCATGGCTGTCTCGCCACTGGTTTCAAAACTGCCTAATGAAGTATTGTGAGAAATTATACATTTTTGTTGTTTTAATCCACTAAATTGTGTGTGTGTTTAAATTATGCCCACTTCTCATAGAAAGGATTTACAATGGCCTGTAATGATCCATATACTCCCAGCTGACGGCGCTATAGTTATCAGATAGCAGAACCATGGTCAGAACACCGGTCTGCAGACTTCAAGGCTGGTGCATTCCAGTATAGCAAAGCCCAGTCACCTAGGCAGGTCTTTCTACCATGCCAGGCATTATTTCTGCCTCTTTCTTTTCAGATGACCCCTTCCTGGAATGCCTTCCTTGCGCCCTCTGCCTATAAACTTTATTTATGTTGAAGAACTTGGCTGATCTTTGTCCCTGATTCCTGGGAGATAACCTCTAAATCCTTGGAATTTCCCCACTGATAGGAGTGTCTTTGTTATTCATGGTGGGCCTGAGTTTATACTAACAAGGTCACTTATTTGGGCCCCTGAAATGGTTTCAAGGTTGGGGCTGGCCATGCCTGAAAGACCAACATGTGATTAAAGGGGTGGGGCTTTGACCTGTAATCATTAAACTTCCACAAGAAAACATAGGCAGTGCACTCTTTGACATCAGTTTTAGCAGCATATTTTCCAGTACCATGTCTGACCAGGCAGGAGAAACAATAGAAAAAATAAACAAGTGGGACTACCTCAAACTAAAAAGCTTCTGCACAGCAAAGGAAACCATCAACAAAATGAAAAGACAACCTAACGACTGGGAGAAGATATTTGTAAACCATATATCAGATAAAGGGTTAATATCCAAAATATATAACGAACTCATACATCTCAACAACAAAAAAACCTAACAATCCAATTAAAAAATGGGCAAAAGATCTGAACAGACATTTTTCCAAAGAAGATATACAGATGGCCAACAGGCACATGAAAAGATACTCAACATCACTATCAGGGAAGTGCAAATCAAAACTACAATGAGATATCACCTTACTCCTGTCAGAATAGCTATAATTAACAAGACAGGAAATAATAAATGTTGGAGAGGATGTAAAGAAAAGGAAACTCTCATATGCTGCTGCTGGGAGTGCAAACTGGTGCAGCCTCCATGGAAAACAGTATGGAAATTCCTCAAAAAATTAAGAATAGATCTACCATATGATCCAGCTGTTCCACTGCTGAGTATTTATCCAAAGAACATGAAAACATGAATGCATAAAGATATATGCACCCCCACGTACATTGAAGCATTATTCACGATAGCCAAGACTTGGAAGCAACCTGAGTGCCCATCAAGGGATGTGGTATATATACACAATGGAATACTATTCAGCCATAACAAATGATGAAATCCAACCATTTGTGAAAACATGGATGGAATTTGAGGGTATTATGCTAAGTGAAATAAGTCAGAGGGAGAAAGTCAAATACCATATGATCTCACGTATAAGTAGAAGATAAAAATAACGACAAACAAACACATAGAAACAGAGACTGGATTGGTGGTTACCATAGGGGAAGGGTGGAAAGATGAGGGGGAAAGGGGTGATTTGGGATGTGTGTGGTGATGGATTATAATTAGTCTTTGAGTGGTGAACATGTTGTAATCTACACAGAAATCTAAATATATGACAATGCACACCTGAAATTTATATAATTTTGTAAACCACTATTATCGCAATAAAAAAAAGAATTAAAAATAAAATAAAATAAAGAGTTGGGTCTTTGAGCCACAAAATATCAGCCTTACCTCTGGAGAGGAGAGGAGGGCTTGAGATTGAGTTCAGTCACATGGCTAATGATTCAATCAATCATGAAATTTCATGTAATCGAACCCCAATAAAAACCTCTGGACACTGAAGCTTAGGTGAGCTTCCTGGTTGGTAGTCATATATTGATGTGCCAAGAGAGTGTAGACACATAATGAGGACACGGAAGCTTTGAGCTTCGGACCCTCTCAGACCTCACACTGTGCATCTGTTCATTTGGCTGATCTTGATTTGTATCCTTTACAATGAAACTGTAATCATAAGTACAGCACTTTCCTGGGTTCTATAAGTTGTTCTGGTGAATTATTGAAACTGAGAGGGTAAAGTGAGAACCCCCGAAATTTGTAGACAGCTCGACAGAAGCACAGGTGGCTTGGGAACCCCGGAGCTTGTGGCTAGTGTCGGAAGTGAGGGCCATCTTGTGGAGGACGGTGCTAACTCCGGTAGTCAGTCAGAATTGTGTTATAATTGAACAAACACTTACCTGGTACTTACGACATGCCAGATCATGTTGGAAATGCTCTACATGTATTAATGCATTTAATCCTCATGGCAGTCCTTCAAAGTAGGTATTACTATTATCCTCATTTTACAGATGAGGAGGTTGAGGCATGGAGACGTTAAATGACTGCCCAACTTGTATGGGGCAGAAACAGCTTTGGTCCCTATTTAAGTGTTTAAGGTTAGGTGGTGGGTGAAGAGAGTGGGGAAGGGAGATCTGGAGAGAAGGAAGAGAGAAGCCTTACTGACTCAG